AAAAAACCTTTAGTAATATTTTAATAACAGAAAAATATTTATTTTTAAGATTACATTTTAATACAGACAATTGCTCGAAAATAATTTATTTATATGAACTTCAAATATATAAAAAATATTTTCTTTTTCTAGTTTATAACTTTGTACAATATATTCTTGAACATCAAATCAATTAACTTGTTGTTTAGACTGTTGATTCAATGACAAATTCGTTTTCAGCATTATCAAAAAAAAAAACGAATTTTTTTTGTTAAATAAAAATTCTTGGCCAGAATATTTTTTACTCATTAAATATATTAATATCAACACCAAAAATAAAAATACATAAATAAATGCCGGTTTAAATATCAGACAAACACCAGACAACATATATTGCACTGATACAAGGGAAAAAAAACAATCTCATATATATCAATGATTAAATTTCATAATTGCGAAATTTTTGAAGATAATCATTAGTTGGTTCAGCTGATTTCCATTGTGAATTTGGTTTTTTTACATCTAAAATATCCATAGAATACATTTGAATTAATACAAAAAAAGAACATTGTTTGTTTTTTTTACTTTTTTTAATATCTTCTTCCTTTTTTTGTTCTTCTTCTTCTTTCTTCATCTGAGCATTTTCAATCATTGGTTCCTTTTTTGTTACTATCCAATGGAATGTCTAGAATGAAAAAAAAAAAAAAGAATATAATTATTATTCATATCATTTCACACTGAGTCGTCTACTAAATGATTCAGTGTTAAGTGTCCTTTTTTTTTTAAAAATAGTTCAAACACCTATATTTACATTCTAATTTTTTTTATCACGAAAAATAATTAATCGATTCACACTATGAATCTTTAATGATCAATGATCTGCATCATTGTTTCTTCTTTTTTTTTTTGTTTGACTTTGAAGTCTTTAACGACTTCTATTGAATATATATTTAAAAAAATCAAATTTGATTTTCATATTGTTTAGTGCAAAGAAAATTTTTACTTCATATGTTATTCTCTTGAAAGTCAAATAATACAAATGTCATGAGTTATGAAGCTAATAAAACAATATTTACAAAAGTATATATCATTTGATGTCCATCACACAATACTAAAAGAAAATATTCATTTATCATATTTGACATATTCAAGTGATAATAGTATATTTAGTTAAAAACAGAAATGTTTTCTTTCTTGATAGATGAACAGTTAACTTTGACAATGATAACTAATTGCGTTAAAGTATAAGGTGTAAAAAATATTTAATATTGTTTTGGAACAAATGAATTGAAATTTTAAAAGCAAAGAATGAATTTACATAAAACTCTTCTTTGTAATAGAAGACCTCGAATGTTCTATGTTATGCAACTGTACAAAGTTTTTCAGAAAATTAAAACGATTTTGAGAATTTGAGAAAAGATTTTTAGAAGCTCAGAAATAATGTTGAAATCCATCTTTTAAGATTTTCGGCTGAAAACTAAGCATATTTTGATGTAAACATACTCAATTAATGTTTCAATCTTTCGAAAAATTAATTAATAAAATGGGGATCTTCTATTGCGAAGTATGGTTTAAAATAATACTGTTCACGAGACTTATTTTTGAGATCATTTTCAGTAATGCCGAGCGCTTCAATAGAGAAATAGTAGTGATGATGGCTAAAGAACGCATTTTGCACTCTTTGTCTAAATTCGTCACTGTTCAATGTATATAGGACATGTTTATCGAGTGTTAGCTTGAGGCATCAAAAATTAGACAAGCGTGTTATTTTTTTTTTGCGAAGACAAATTACTTCTTTTTTTTAATAATAGAACGCAAGTGGGTTAATCTTTTTAGACGGCGCTGAGGAAAAAGGAACGGACATTTTCGATGATTAGATGGACGTCACATCATCCACATTCTTCCGGTCGATCGATTTCGATTCCTTTCGGATAGCAGTTCTGTATATTCTAAGTGTATTTATATATATACATGTAGCAGATTTTATTCATATGTTTTTTTAATAGAATTTACTGAAGTGACGTTTTCATATGATGAATCGTAATTAAACAACGATTGAATCTTATCGTTTTTTGTTAGAGATCTATTGAAGTTTTGTTGTTTAGTATAAAAAAATTTAATCGTTTTGATATAATGACATAATGATAAGCGTTAGACTGTTTATATGGACGAAATCCATGATGATGAAAGGTAATCATTCATATGGCTATTATTTTGACAATTGACTCTTCGAATATGACGAAAAATAAAACAGACTCTATAGCCTCGAGCTTTATTTTCATCAGTAAATCAAGCGCATTGAATCATTAGACTAAGCATTTATCTCATCTTTATGATGACATTCGATTCATCGGTCTATTGAGACCTATAAATTTTTGCTACACATTGTCAAAATCAACTTATATTGAACAATCAACAAATAGGATAAAACATCTGTTATATCTTAATATTAGTCATCATTAGTTGGTTTTTTTCTCAGACAAAAGTCATAAGAAGAAAAAAAAAGAGTCCGAAGTCCGTTCTTTTCTTTTTCTCCTTTCAAGATCAAAATATGCAAACAGACAAGGCTTTTTCTTCTTCTTTCCTTCTCTTTTTTTTCTCTGTTCGTGTTCGTCCCGTCCTATGACTTAGATATGCGAGAGACATGAGCCAGAAGCGGACACATATACATATTAGCCCAACCGAGAGAGTCAACAGAGAATAGAAAGGGCATCGTCGACCGCAAAATTCAACGTTTTTCTATTGGATATAAAAAAAAAAACTACATGAAAGTAAGAAATATTTATTGGTTATCGACTAATTCTTTTCAAAGAGAGAGGGCAGAAAGAAAGAAAACAAAAAAGAGAGAAAAAAAAAGAAGTGAACGAGCACGAACACAATCACACATTGCATTCATTCATTTTTTCTACTTCACCGACACACGCACATTCGCATTCTTCCCACAGGACTAAGAACACGCTATGAAACAAAGACGATTCAAATTTCACCAAAGTAAGGAAAAAAAACGTACAAAATTATTCATTCCATATGGTTTTATTTTTTTCTTTAGAAGAAAAAGATAATAATCAAGAATATATTTATATTGAATTAGATACAAAATGCAGGTAAATAATATTAATTATATTCGAATTTATTTCTATTTCGAATATTTTTGTTTAGCTGTTTACAATTAAATCCTGATGTATCAATTCAAGTACGATATTCTTTTCTTATGATTTATTCTCTTTTCTTTTTGTTTTGTTTAGTTTTCTCGTCGCTATCTTCAATGTCAAAGTTCAATGCCTATTTCTATTCTTCGATCATTTATTCAACAAATTCTACCACATTCTTCTATGACACAAGTAAACATTCCATTTCAAATTTTCTTTTTTCTTTTGTCTTATAATTCAATGTGTTTGATTATTTGTTTAGGTTTCATTTTATGATTTAAATAATCATTTATTAAAAGATTCAGATTTAGTTAGTTCATTAAAAACAACAACATCATTACATATTCCTATACGTTTTACATTATTTAATAAAATAACATCATTTGGTCATTGTTTATGTTCAGCATCAATAGAAGATAAAAAAAATGAATCATTTTCATTTAATTCAAATATAATTAAATATGAAACAATTGATAAAATTCTTTCAACATGTTCAATGATTTCAACAAGATCTACTATTTCACCTTGTTTATCATCATCTTCGAATGACTTATCAAATTCTATATCATCAATAGTTAATCTTTTAACTCCACCATCATCTAATTCATCATTTTTAATTGAAAATATTGTTGATACAAATAATATAAATAATCAAACAATAATTGATGAAATAACATCAAAATTTGGTGAAATTTGTCCTCCATTACGAAAAAAAGGACGAAATCGTTTATCAAAAAAA